GAACATGGGTGTCACACACGGCTGGTGGAAAAGAATGTGCGCCCCCGTCACGGCGAAGTTTACTGGTTTTCCTGATTGGTCAGCTGTCTTTGTTGGAGTACAGTCTATACTGCATGAAGCAATTTTACTCTTTATTATCATTTATTTGTTTGCTAGCAGAGAACACAAGACACTGAAATCTGGAATGCATTGAGTTTTTAAATGAGCACCAATACCAAATCTGTATCCAAACTAGCAAGAAGCGAAAGTTGGTCATTTTAATAAGAACTATAACTCTATTATTACCCACACTTATTACATAAATGGGGTAGGTTTGCCGATCTTCCAAAGGACACTGGTGTATCATGGGCCTCTAGTGGAAAGTAAGAACTTTTTCTCCTACAAACAATGCAATTATACCTGTTTGTCCTCTATCTACACAGTGTATGATTGCTCTGCCCCTGCATAGCTGTCGTCTGTGGATTTGCCTCATGATGATATTTAGGAGGGTGAGAATATCACATTCGGTGGATGGGCAACAGGCACTGAGGGCTCTGCTTACACACACTCAACGTTGCTGCCTCACTCGGTGCACTAAGCTTTGACTCCAACTTTGTTACATTTACTCAGCGTTAATAGAGAGAAGCCATCACCACCTCTGTACTTAACTGGTCTATTTTCTCAATGTATTTACTCATTACTCGTTACTCTTTCCAAAAAGTACTTTAATATTATTACTTTTTTATTATAACTCCCTCACGTTATATTTTATTTTACTGCCACTCCCAACAGACAGGTAATTGTGTCCTTTTCCCAAACCAGACCTTTAAAATAATATTTTCAGCTGATGAATATAGATTACCATTTCCAAAACTAGTTTCCTTCATAGATTAAACATAAATCCCTGGATGTGATTGATTGTTTGTTTTTAACTAATTATTTTTGATGGGTGACTTAATCTTATGAAACTGAAATTTAGTAGTAATCAGTTACTACTAGTTACTGGGGAAAGTAATTATTACTTACTGTTACTATATGTTATATATTAATAGCAATGCTTTACTGTCCGACACTGGCTCACAAAATCTCTATTTTGTACTTTTGTTTTAGGGCTCCCTTTATACACCCATCTTACTTTTGATTAAGCGGCGAACTTCCATAGTGTTAAATCTGATTTATACTGATTGGCAAGGGCTCATTGGGAAATATACAGTTCTTTAATGATTTTTTCTGTTTTCATTTTTATACAGCATAATGTCACTTTGAAGGAATGTAGGTAAAAAAAAATAATTGATTTGCCTGATAAATATTTCATAATTTTATATAAAACTTTTGACTCAAAATAAAGATCCTCTTCCCCATACACGTTATTAAGACCATATGTACTAATAGTACCACCTTGAACAATAATGACATGTCTGATATGTTTTTTCCACAAAGAAACTATAATTTCAATTATTATAGATTCCTATTAAAATCATCTTTTTTTTTATTTCTTCTGCTGGACACAAGATGTCTCCTACTTCATGTTAAGTTGATACTAGACCAGGACTGACTTCCAGACTATTTGTGATGCTCACAAATTATGCTGGCCCGCCCCTTAAAATCAGCTTGCAAAGCTATGCAGAAGCAACCATAGGAGTAAGCAGTTAATGTACAAGTCAGACAGGAGGATTTACAGCATGCAAGTGGTCAATGGTAGGAGAATTCATTATATACTGATCATCTTTACCTGGGACCACACTTAGCATGCACTATAGGCTGGGCAAGAGTAGATGTTTTATTAAATCTTGATGTGGTTCTTCAACTAACACTGTCTTCTCCTTATAGCTTATGGTTGCAGTGTTCCTCGGAAGCTATTTCCAGGGAAACTATGGCAACGGTTTAGTGTGGCTGTGCCTGCTGCTGGGCCCTCCTCTGGCTGTGACCACTTACTTTCACGACCACTACATCAGCTTCCATCGCCATCATCATCAGTCACCATCCTCACCGCTGACATCAGACCACCGTCTTCCCGGAACTGTTTTCCTGCAGCCTCACTGATTCTGTCCTGCTGTACTGTGTGCGGCTGTGATCCAAAGCTCAGTGAAGTCGGCTCATCTCTGTCCAAGGATCCATTCTGACGTCTGGAAAACATTTTGGAGTTATAATCCACGACCTCTGCCCAGTTTAGCAATATATATATGGTGTGTAGACTCATTAATGGACCAATTCCATACTGGAAAAGACTGACACAAATCACAAATTATGCTACTATACTTCCACATCTGACTAATATTTATGCAATAAATAACTAACTTTTTACATCTGATGCTTGTTGAATGTGACCGAGAAATGAACTGCAACATGGTGAGTGTGCAACAATCTCCGCCACTGATCATTCCTGTTAGAATGACGTGAGTCAGCAGCGAAGATAAGGTTGCTGCTTACACACTGCTCATTCATCATGCGGTTAAGGGGCCCTAGTTAATTCAAGTTTACCGTAAGTTTCGGTCCAATCAGGAAATAGAAGGAATGACTGTGCTGTACTTCGTGGTTCAATGAGTCTCAGTGTGGAATGAGTCAAGTAAAGTTTGCAACAGCCTTAATGACAGTTAGAAATGTTCTGTCTTGTTCTCATAACTCTGGTATATTTTTATTTTTTTTTGTGACCCAACTTGGACTTGAGTCTTTTGACTTGCAAATACTTTATTTGTTTCCTCAAACCCAAAGAATAACATGTATGTTATTTTAAAGTGTGCCATGAATCAATTCATTTGCTGAAACAACTAGCGTTAACTCTACTCATTCTTAGTAAATCGACACTTAATTCCCCACATCCACTTTGTCTGAACCAATCCAACAGCATCCAATCAAGTTGTAGGGCCGCATCATGACGTTAATGAGCACCAGTTGGGCAGGGGCACCCAAACTTTCCTTGTAGAACTGAAATTAAATGGAGGGCACCTATTACACCTATTGTATTGTTAAGATGCAAATGGAACTAGGATCCCAAGTTCCCTTAATTGACTGCTGTCCATATTATGAAAACAAAATTAGTGATACTACATATTAAACCTGATCATAGATCCCATAAATGATCACTTTTCTCTTTATGTCAATTTTGGCCTTACAGCGTTCAAGCAGCCGGCTCAGTTTGATGTGGAGTTTCAGTCGGGTGTTTGTGTGATGTCAACACACGACTCTGTGCTCAGGGACACCAAAAATGGAGGGAGAGTGACCACTGCTGGGTTTGAGAACTTAAAAGAAACGTTGACGAAACTAGAAGAATCACCTCTCTAGAGCAAATGTTTCTAGTCCATGCATTGTGTATTATGTTTCTTTTATGTATTGAGAATGTATTTTTGTTTCTTGTCTTAATCATTTGAACCACAGTTTATAAACCAAATCCCCCCTCTTGGACATTAAATGGCAAAAAATAAAAAAAGAACTGTAGCCTACACAACCCAGTGACTTTCTTTCTCTCTCTCTTTTTGTTGCATTTACATGCTGTAATACAGGTAGCATAGCTCCAAACATAAGATAAATACTTCAAATAAGCTAACACTACAGCATAAGCCCATATGTAACTGCTTATGGATGCATGAATCTGGATATTGTGGTCAAATGGTCCGTGCCATGAGAGCGGACCAGCAGCAGTACCAAAGCACTAGCTCAGTTATTACTGCTTTTAAAGGTCCAGTGTGTAGGATTTAGTGGCATTTAGCGGGGTAGCTGAAGATTACAATCCCCTTGCCTCACCGTCCCAAAACTCAGATCAAGCTGTCAAACTAGGCAGTGCTGATCAAATATCCAGCGCTGGTGATGTCATTCAGTGCCAGAGTACAGGGGCATGTCCAGACTTTTTTTAACTGGGATGGCCAAGTGGGTCAATGACAATGCAGGGCTGGCATAAAGTGTGTGTCATAGGTCTCCAGTCATTCCCAATGTATGCACTTCCAACACTGTTTATGGACCCCAGTCTGCACAAATATTTAAATACACTAGGCCAAAATAACACATTTATACCACATGCAAAACATTTCTTTTGCCCCTAACTGCATGCCATTCGCATAAAGTGGGCATGTCTACAAAGGGAAGACTTATGGGTACCCATAGAACCCACTTTGATTCAGATGTCTTGAGGTCAGAGGTCAAAGGATCCCTTTGAAAATGGCCATACCAGTTTCTCCATTGCAAAATTTGACTGAATTTGGAGCGTTGTTTAGTCTCTTTACCAACATGCTAGCTTCACTCTAGCTTTAAAACAGAGTCCACTACGGCATCTGAAAGACAAAGAGTCAAAGAGGTGAGAATAATGGGTGGCACTTGGGGTGGTCAGATTTCAGGGGTGGGCAGTGCTACCCCAGGCCCAAAATGTTACTCCACAAACCAACGGGTGACATCATGATAGGTTCAGAACCAAACAGCACAGACGTAGTAAACATAGTGGAGCATTTAGTAGCTATAGAGAGCCAGATATTTGTCTCAGAAGATGGAACTAAATATTACTTACTTACTTACATACTTACATTAACCAGGTGGACACAAAAACAACTCCAAATGAATGATAATGTATAGGCAACATGTTGGTCATAATAACTTTATAAGGTGATTATAGTATATCAATGCTGCACTTTCAGCTGGTTCTGCTGCCCTCAAGTGGCCAGAAATGAAGTAGAAAATAAATTAGTGCAGCTTTAAAGTCAAAATTGTGATAAACATTGAGCTCACATACGGGTTGTAATCATTACATTTAATTCATTTGAACTTCGGAGCTCACTTATATACATTTGCTATCTTGGACTCTTTGGAATTAGATTTTAGTTTACTGTTTTAAGACATATTTATTCTGTGTTTTACTCCTAGCTTTATATTTGCTGAATAATACTGTAATTACGTTTGCTGTATATTGCAATTGATCTGCATGGAAAGTGATGTGTAACTTTAATTTGAAATAGATGGCTGATGTTTACCATTATTTATGACCCACAATCCTTTGTGCAATGAGAAACATATACCCTGGATCACGTGGTATTATCACTGAGGCGGAAATGAAAGTTCAGTAGCGACAGCAGCGGAGCACAGCTGAAAAAGGTACGGGAAGACTACATTTAAGGCTCATTTGTTCGTGTTTCAGTAGATATAGCGTGTTCTGACGTTAACCACGTAACTAACAATGCTCATTTACTTGTTGTCAGGTGAGCAGAACAGATTTTAGCGACATGTCCTTTTATTAAATCCCCATACGAAGCTCGCTCGCTAACAGTTAGCTTCTTATAGGTCAAGCTAGCCAGTATTGGCTGTATCGGACCGGACATGTCGCGCCTACCCCTTCAAAACAAACGAGAAAGAACAGACACAATGCTGGAAAAACAAGTCTTGTGTTGTATATAACATTGTGGAGAGATGCACAATGCTAGTTTCTTTCTGTATTAAATCCCCTCTAAATGTGGTTTGTGTATTCTCCTTATGTGCGTCGCATTAGTCATAACGATGAGAGCTTTAGTTTGGAAAAACTGACCGGAAATCGATGTTTTTCTGGCCTCGCTTAACAGTGATGCGTAGAAATGCCTTGATCATCTTCCGTGTTTGTGTTTGGTGCGCAGCAGCCAAGGGTATTTAAATACGGCGACAATGAGATCTGTTTAGTAGGGACAGTTAAATCTCCATTAGTCTACTTTAAGTTTAGCCAGTATCCGCTGAGTAGCTGATCTAACGTTAGCTAACTCTGCGTAGCACGGCCAGCTTGTCTTCACAAGGTTGGCGGAAGATGCTGTGCGCTTCTGTTGTTGTTGCCTCGATCCGTTTGTCTGCAGCCCGGAGCCAGACCTCAGGTGGTCATTAAGTTGATAATACAACACTTAATAGTTCGCTGGTGTAATGGCCAGGTCACATCTGGCCATGCATCAGTGGGTTTATGTCTGGTCTCTGCCAACAGCAGTCACCTTGGTGCTGCAGCAAGTAACGTTACACTGATAAGAGGATGAGGATCCCCTTCACAGACCTGTTTTAGGGTTAGCATCTTTTCTTGGTATACAAAGTGCAGATGAATATAAAGGTAGCTGGAGTTCACTGTTACTGCGCATTGTCCTTGCACATGCAGTTGCCTTTGCACTCAGTCCAGCAGGCTACATCTCTGACTTTGCTCAAGGTGATGTTGACAGGGTCTGATGAAAGTCTTGGCACTCGCTCTGCCTCTATTGAAATGTATTTCCACATGTATGCCACGCTGCTAAGTATACCTGTAATATACGTCGTTTTTTTTTGTATGGGCTGTTCTAATGTTGCAATGAAATGACAATATGTTGTAATACTGTGTGTTTCAGAGCTGTGAGGTCATGGCAGCTGCCAGCGTGAGCAGACCTGGCGGTGCCCAGACCACTGAGAAGTCTCAGTTGATCTTGAAAGGTAATTATCTGTGTTTTTTGTCATCTCACTGACTTACACAAGCAGAAACATGCGTGTGCTTCATGTCAGAAACTCTCCCCAGCTGAGTGACAGTTTCTAATGGCTGCCTCTTTTTCATTCATGTGTTAGGCCACGGTGGCTCGCCTGCGCATTAGGCAGCATGATGTCCTCTGGGTTTCATGACAGGAAAATATCCTCTCTGTAGGAACTTAGGGAACCTCTTTTTTCCTCAAGCTTTCTTTTTGAAAATAATGGCTCAACATGACAATCATTATCGATGGTCAGAAAGCCATTTTTGTAACTTCTCTCCCATTGTTCATCCAGCTAACCTGCTGATCAGACCTTGTTCAGATGGGGTGTGCAGCAATTTCATAGCATTTCTCTGATAAATCAGAGTGTCAGATAAATGTTGTGCTGTAATTTGACTGTCGATTGTTTTTGTGTGACTTGTGGCAATCGCTGTGTTGTGTTGTGCAAACACCCCCGAATCTGTAACACAGTACAGTAGATTTTTGGCCGATTCTTTTTTTCACACTGCAAGCCTTGATGACATAACCTGGTTTGTTATGCATAAGCATCTGGTGTTGTTTGGAAGGGCAGGTGCTTTTAAAAAATACTAAGCAGGTGATTGGATGAACCATCTGTCTTATCGCCGTCTATCGCGGGCAGACTTCCCCCAATCAGATCAACGAACAATATAACATAGTCAAATTCTTACTGAAGAGAGAAAGCATCTTTTCCACGGAGAATGGCTTTTAGTGCCGTTCTTTGCTCTTCTTCCAAAGAAGAAATACTCTCCAGTTCTGATAGAACTGATGCTAGCAGAATCTACGCTAACCTCTTTAGCAGCAGCCGTTGTTGTTGTTGTCGAGCAGACAGTCATTTTTCCCACACCTAGCGTTAAACCACGCCTGCAGCTCATGCTGCTGCTGCCAGCGGTTCCTCATAGGTTGCCGATTGGTCCGAACCGCTGTAGGTTGGACACATAGCTTGAAGCCTGACAAAATGGATTCTGATGTGAGTCCAGCTGCCTTGCAAGTTCATTGCTAGCTGAGTTTCACTGCTCAGATTTCTTTTATTTTTTCTTGGACTGTTCGGTTTTATTAGTGTTTTCATTAACCAATACCAGCCCAAACAAGTCTCCATTTTGAACTGAACTGTGTGCTGTGTGCCAAGGAACATTGGCACAGATGTGACCTTCAGGATGTTCACATGGATTCACAGTGACTAAAGTTATCACATATGATGGCAAACTGCGGCTTAAGTAAATCACATAAAGTATAAAATACAAACCTGCTCGTTGTGATGTTGACATATGATCCCGTCAGGGCCACGTTTATATTTTAAAGACTCTTTACATTACACCGGCCTTGCAGCTTCATTCTTCTGTAACCTTCTTCCTTCTTATGCTTTCATTTGTCACTTCTAGTTTTTCTTGTATGCAGCCTAACACCTCTCTGTCTGTCTAGCAGCTGAGCACCTCCATCACAGCTGTCGCCTGCACAGATGACTGACAAATGTTGCATTGGATTAATGGAAAATTCACAGTATTTCTACTGAATTTTAGCAGGAAAAGTAAAATGTCAGATCTTTTTTTCTGACACATCGGGGTCACTTACAGTGTGAGGGAGAATAACATAGATTTGGTCCACTTTCAAATGCAGTGTGTATGTACTAAATGTGACTCTAAAGTGATGATCAAAATCAAAGTTGGTCTGGCGATTATTGCTTCCTGTGCTCCGTGCTAACACCTTAGCATACACTATGTTGACTGATAATAGGATAATGCCCTTAAAAAGTACTGCGTCAGTGTCGGTTGTCTCATTGAAGTGAACAGTGAGTCAAAAACAAGTCAACAAGTTTGCTAACACAGCCAAACATCAAGCTAGTGCATAAAGTCCATCCACTGCAAGTTGATACGGCAAACTTGTTAGAACAGTTGCTTCTTTACACATCCTGCAGTTACAGAGCAGCACTGTCATTCACGTGGAGTCTTGTTTATGGCCTCCTGACCAATGTAAGTGCAGTATTTATCTCTTTTAGCTCTGCTTTTGTTCTCCATCAACCCCTTAGGGAAATATCTGCTTCTTTAGCCACTAAATGCTCCACTGTGCTCACCAGCCAGTGTCTAACTGTGTCTGTCTGCTGTTGGGTGCTGAGCCGGTAGTGTACAGTGGCTTTTTAGAGCTTTTTCTCTTCTCTTGGGGGTTTTTCATGCACTGCCACTGCCGTGATGGTTGTATAACGGGGCATCCCACTGTGCATGCAGTACCCTATATTCTCAGCAGTTATTAGAATGAGTACAATGTTCTTATAATGGCTACAAATCGCCACATCTATTAAAATTGAATGTATATCAGATGATTTTTTAATGGTGTAATACCACTCAGGTTAATTGTCATGAAGAAGGACTGGAGCTACTTTGATGCTTTTGTATATGTCTCACCAAAGTTTTGATTTGCTATAAAAAGAGCACAAATGTGACCATTGTCTTTCTGTTTTTCTCTCTTTTCTACACGACAAGTCTTATTTCACTCAATCACGGTTCCATGTCATTCACTGTTGATCATATGAGCCCTGACTCACCTCCTTATTTACTTCACTATCGATCTGCTCCCACCCACGTCTACCATTGTTTCCCCCCTCCCCTCCCGCTCGCACTGTCGAAATCTACTTTTGATTCCTCCATTTCTGGCACTCTTCCACCTCTCCCTGTCGCTTCCTTCTGCTCTTCAGAGAGCCAGGGATGAGTCATATTTTTTTATTGTACCAGATGTTAATGAGTTCAGACTAATCGTCAACCTGATGTCTCATCTGTGATAGGAAAGGGAACAGACAGACAGGAGCCCCTTTCTCTCTCATCACTTATTCATCCTGGGAAACACTTGACAGGCTTTGTGTGTGTTCTTTAGTTTGATATCCAGGAGTGATTCGGGACGAACAAATCGGCTCTCATATGACTGACACATGCTGTAACAGGATTCTGTGAAGGCCTAAAAGAATTCAAAGCCACTAAGCCTGTCTGAGCCCAGCTGTGGACTTTTACCACAGTCACAGAGCTTTCAGTAATACTGACATTCAGTGAAATATCATAAAATGTAGAGAGGTGTATTCAGAAAGGGTCAGTTAGTTTCATCAATTCTCTGTAAGAAGTTTAAGAAGTTAAGTTAAGAAGAAGTGCTGCAGTTGTACAGCTCATTCCAGGCATTCATTTCATTAGATTGTTATAGTTGAACTGGTGAGGAAACTGAATCACAGAAAAAGTATTTTTTAGGCTGCAGAATCACTTTGTATTGTGAAAGTCCTTGAACGGACATGGAACGTTCCAGACCTGCTGTGTCACACTGGTCTCTGGAATGTTTTGAGGATTCATTGTGACCATTCTATGGTTGTTTCCCAGACCCCCAATGTCTTGAAAATGAAAAATGGTAGGTTTTTCTTTCTCCCACTAGAGGGCAATGTTTATGTTGCTCTGTTTGCTTGCCCTACCACAAACACACAAGTTGGGTCCCAAATCCAGCTTGCTTGTAGTGTGTTCACACAGGATAGGTGACAGGGTTAGGGTCAGCACGAATGCTAAACCCAAACTGCTGATGGCAGTGCACAAAGGAAATGGACACAGCTGGGAAAACGTCAAGCTAATTGTAAATGGTAGTAAAACAGATCCAGGAACACCTCAACAACAACAAAAAAAATCTTTTGCACTTTGATTGACGTCCGAATTGCCAACTGAGGATCAATAAAGCATTATTTTACCATTGTGCCATGAAGTATAAAGTTAATGTAAAAAAAGAACTTTGTGCTTTGACTTTACAACTAGTATAAAAGGCTATGATAACAGTAAGTGATAATGTGTCGGATTCCCTTTAGTATCATACACAGTAATTAGCTGAGCCTTGTACCTGCCACGACGTCAGAGGTAGATAGTTGGCACGGACATGTCCAGAAAAATAACAGCACTTCCTGCTTTGTGGATTTCAAACATTTTTTTGGACTCTGCTTTAAAGCTGCAGTAGGTCACTTTTTGTCATATATAATATTTTTTTTATGTTTCTCAGAGATTTTTATAAAAGTAATCTACAGCAATTTTAATAGCTGTTACTAAATAGTTAAAATAGTAGTTAAAATAGGATGGTAGAGGATACATAGGACGTGATTTAAAACTGTGTAAACCATAAATTCAATTCAATTCAATTTCAATTCAATTTTATTTGTATAGCGCCAATTCATAACAGAAGTTATCTCAGGACACTTTTCAAATAGAGCAGGTCTAGACCGAACTCCTTATAACATTTACAGAGACCCAACAGTACCACCATGAGCAAGCACTTGGCGACGGGGGCAAGGAAAAACTGCCTTTTAACAGGCAGAAACCTCGGACAGACCCTTCGGCTCTAGGTGGGGGGTCATCTGCCTTGACAGTTGGGGAGAAAGAGAGAGAGAGACAGAAAGAGACAGAGAGACAAACAGATGTACAGCAACAACAGAAGCAACAACTACATTAACAGTAATGATCGATGACGATCATGAAAAAGACGGTGACGACGGCGACAGCAGCAACGACAGGGGACAGCGAGCAGCGACAACAGCAACCGCAAACTAAAATAAACTGTTCTCTTAATATGGGCAACATGGAAACAGATGACTTCCGTCCAAAACAAAGGCATAAAACAGGGTTGCAGTATTTGCCCAACCCTGTTCAATATATGTCTCAATCAATTGACTGAACTGGATTATTTAGACAGACTGGGTTAGACTAGACAACATTTTGTTTTTAAAGCACATTTCATTGCAAGTAAACCTAATTAGTAAGTAATTTAGGCCTGTGTATCGACAAGAATCTGGTAATACAATATGGATCACAATACAGAGTTACGTTCAATATATATTTTGATACTGTAAGCAGGCAATATATTGCAATTTAAAAAAAAAAGTTGTGTATATAGAAAAAAAACTCTGTGTAAAAAAAAAAAATTACTTTTTGCAACCAGAACAATGGGATCCACATTTGTATTTATCACAGTTCCTGTAACATCCAACATCAGACGCACAAATACAATGACTGGTCACAATACTGAGAACAGAATGCAGTTTGCTTTTGAAGGAGGATACAGTTGACAGATCTCAGGTCATCAGGCAGTTTGTTCCAGAAGAGCTGACTTACCAAAAGCACCATCATCAGAATCTTGTTTTAGGTACAGTTAGACGACTACCTCCTCATAACCCTGAGAGGTCAGACCGAAACTGTTGTCAGTGAGCTGTTCACGAGTGCTTCAAAGACCAACATGTACAATTTTGGTATTCCACTGTGAGCCAATTAAGCCGTTTGTGTGGACATGTGAGGATGCTGGCTGCGTTGTTTTGGATGAGCTGCTTTGTGTTTCCACTGTTAGATACTGAAAATACAGGCCTTCTGTTTGCACGGCCGCATTTCACTGGTTGGCACAGAGGGGGACAGTGTATTATTTAAAAGAAATTGCTCATGGGGTGTTGTTGATATGAATGCTAAACCTTTGAGCCTAAACACACCCACATGAAATAGAAACATTTCCCTATAGTGGTTGGACTGTCACACAGTGTGCATCCCAGTTCAGTTCTACTGCCTTTTATGTGACGCTGTGCAACCCTAACTTTGTTTTTATCCTTTCCAATAGATTACAAAAAGAGCACATTTTGAACTCCCTACTAATTCTAACATATTCCTTTATAACACTGTGTGTGTGTGTGTGTGTCTGCGTGCTCAGTGGTTTCAGCGAAGCCTCAGTCTCCCAAGCTGCCAAACCGTCACTCTCGGCTCAGCTCCTTCGTTGAGGTGACTGCTGACGGCCTGACCAGTGAAACCAAAAAAACAGGCAAACGCAGCGGACACCTGGAGCTGCAGTGGAATGAAGACCTCACCCTGTGAGAACAGCGTTACTCTCACACACTCACCGACTTTCTTACTTTTATACAATCCTGTGTTTTATGAACTTGTTCAAACAGTTATATAGAACATAAAAATTCCTTGCATGCATCCGAAGGAGAGAGTCCCAAATACCAACATTCCACTCTACATATTGGCTGATATTAAATTGAAGTTCAGCTGGTTCTGCTGTAAAAATGTATTCTGTTAAAAGTAAAACTCTAAGCTAACTTAAAACATTTCCAGAGGTAAAAAACACTTACATGCATACATAGACATTGTTACAGTAGCCACAATACAGGACTCTCTACTCTAAAATTTACCAAAACTATTGTTAATTTGCATTTAGTACATGTTATATTAGATAAATGTACTCATATGCAGAATTTGTTTATTTTGAATGATGTGTGGTAACAGGCCCTGGTTGATAATGTGTTCGTATTGTTTTTCACAGTAACGTGACGCCTCAGAGTCGTCTGGATCTGAAGCTGTGGAGCTGCCACACCCTGAGGAAGGAGCTACTGGGCAGCGCCACCATAGACCTGCTGGACACACTGCGCACACACGATGGCAAGAGTAAGGTCACACACAGAAAAATATGTCAAACATGTTATCATATACAGCTCCACAGTGTTTTTATAAGGTAGACTGTAACTTACAAGCAGTGTATTAAGAAATAGACAAGTGTGAATTTACAGCGTGCATGCAGGAAATGTATTTCATAAGCAGAATTAGAAAAGAAAGAAAAGATGGGAGAAATAAAGGGGGGGAAAACACAGAGGAGACCAAGAGTCCGCTCTGTGGCTGAACCTGAGCCTGCTCCTCTCCAAATGAGACAGTCCAGCCAAGGGGCTCCGGAGCCACATGCAGACTCAGCCCCTCTCCAGTGGCTCCCTGTGGCTTTTGACAAAACCTGATATGGAAATTGAAAATGGTTTGTTTCATTTATCATTGTTATAGGTAATATAAGTGATTTATTACATTCTCTAATTGTAAAAATGCTGTGAGAAATAAGCAGTATAAGGTTCAAATATTAAAGGTTGCTAACTGCTGGTCTGCTTGTCACCAAGAAATTGTCGACAAAATGCTGACAAATACTTCAGTTTACAGTACAAGAGGTTTTCCCTTAAACACATTATGGACAACGTGTTAACAGTCTGTGTCTCCATATGGCAGTGGCCCTCTCAGTGCTCCACTTCAGTTCATTTATTTACCAGTAAATGACGACCGCCTGAAACCATGTTCCTACACTCGTTCATTCAGGTTTTTCCTTTAAATTGTCACCCGTCTTTTGCTTGTAAATATGGCGGGGTCACGTGAAACGACTGAACAACTGACTAACCCATATTGGATTATGGGATACTGATAGCAAAGGATACACAGGATATCTTCCAAATCAAGAAAGCATCTCTCAACCAAATTCAGAGAAGCCTTTGAGTCTGTTGAGGCCACTGAGGTCCACTCTGATTCAGTGTTCGGGGGATCAAACACGGTTTTAGTCTTAAAGTGAAAATATCTTTTAGAAATGTACAAACTTTAAATGTAATCAGTTTAGTATTTAGTAAATTCACTGTCTAGAAATAACCCTCTATACATAAACTGAATATTAACTTTCTCTCTTACTGCTTATAAGCAATAATGTTGAATTGTAGGACAGTTCCAAAAGTATGAAAGTGATTTTTATCACCAGCAGGGATCATATTAGTAAGAGTAATGAAACGTCTGATAATATTCTTCAGGAGAATTTGAGCTTCAGTACATTTATCTGACTCATTCAGTTTTCCGCTTCTAATGTTTCTTTAAAATTGGGGAACGTGTAGACATCAAAACAAACCAAATCTTGCTTTTCTGAGTAAGTGCCATCACTGACATACTAGAAGCTGTCTATTCCTGTGTTGGAGGAGAGTAAGCAATCTCTTGTCCATTGCTTAAAGACTAGATTTCCCATCACATCATCATTCATTTCACTTTTGATATCAGTGTCACTACAACGTTATTTGCAAACTGTGCAAACATAGTTGAAGTTTCACCCACAACCTCTAACCCCACTCAACTAAGAGGCATTTAACTCGCCCTGGGCAATCGGGCAATCCCTATTGTTGAGCCCTGTTTTCTGTACTTGGTGTTCTGGAATAATTTAGTCAATAGTCAATGGGACAGTTTTCACTTCTTGACACAGAACTGGCACGTCTGCTTCTGAAACCACCATGACACCGTAACCTACTATAAAGTAAAGCACGATAGCATTATTCATAAAGATAAAGTTACTCAGCTCTGTTGGCTACCTTTTGCTAATCTGAAACCTCTTGTGGTCACAAAGGTCTCAGCAGGGTGGCCCTCCGCTGTTACCACTGTGGAAGATAATACACTGTGGGTTCACACCGTTTCCTCGCAATAACCGAGGATGTCCCATTTCCTCCCTTCCATCTCTCGTCACCCTCAACCTTCCCACCATGTTTGTCCTCTACTTTCTCAACCACTCATCCTCTCTCTCTCTCTCTCTCTCTCTCTCCCCCTGTCATCTCACCTCCCCCCTCTAGTGGAGAACGTCCAGCTGAGTCTGGTGCTGCAGACGGAGAACAAAGGCTCGGTTGTAGCGGGAGGCGAGCTGAACGTCTGTCTGGACGGCATGGTTGTTGATCTGGGCTCACTGCCCAATGGCAGCACAGCAGCAGACAGTGAGTCCCGCCTTTACCACACACACACACACACTCACGATGCACTCAGTAATTCCATCACTCAGATACAAAAATGAACCAATCCCAAATAAAGGCTTCCTAACCCATATTACCCTCTTAGCATATTATTCTGCCACATTTATCGCTCCATTGGAGAGGTTTCATAAGCCAGGATATTCAGTGGCCTGGAGCTGGTGCTCTTTGTTTTCTCTCACCCATTCTGCCTCTCATTACCAATAATCACACATTTTTTTGTTTAAATCATTAATGTATATCTTTCCTTATCCTAGGCAAGCTGAGTATAACAGACTGGTTTTACTAATGCCAAAAACAATGGATGACCTTGAATTTAGAATAATGAGATACTTTTGAGAATTGTTTCAGTCCTTGCAGACAGCTTGATAACATCCAGTCCTACAGGACCGGAATGAATGGACATAGCACGATGATGTGTTATTTAGAAAGGGATGCTCGCAGTAATAAATTCACTGAGAATTATCACCTAACTTTGCAGCTCTTTGTGTCAATTTGGGGATTTTGGTTTGGTTTTTGGGCCCCTGTCAGCAGCAGGCAGCTGTTTTCAGTAAAAGAGTTTTGATAGAGAAACTAAAAACTACCTTCTTTCTAGTGACAAGCAGCCAGTAAATTTATAATCCAGAATTTAAACAATAACTCCTCTGA